AAGTGGAGTTTGAGAACAGGAAACAAAACTGGACTATAAAACTATAAGGGCTAATTAATTGCAAGGCTAATCCTTAAATACTCCAAACATATGTTGGGGCTGCAGGGAGATATGAAGGTCATGGGACTTTTAAAATGACTTTAAGCATCAGTATCGTCCTTCGTTCTTTGAGAATGGTATGGAAATGATTTGACAGTTCATACTGGAACCTGAAATTAAACATTAGCATCGATATTGTCTTTACCTTTTTTCTTGGAGAATGGAGTGGAACATCCCCTCTTTTTATCGGGCTTGTTATTGTCTGTGGTTTCACTGCTAAGATCCTCCAACTTGTGACCATCAAGGTCAAGGAGGAATGACAGATGCATCTTGCACATTGCAGACAGCTTCTCAGGGCGTACACTGCGCAGTCGATTCAGGTTTTTCTCTGCCTCTGTCTGGCGACGCCTCACACTTGACATCGTCAAAGACATGGCTGAAATAGACATCAGTTGTCAATAACATATCACGGAAAAAAAGCGATGTTCACTTGTTTTCATGTCTTAATATTCCCACATTCAGGGGACATTATGACACTGACAATCACTACAATGTCCTCAACGGATTTCTAAAGCTAAAGACGCTATCCATAACCTATTTGTTTGCATTGAAGAAGAGGGTGTACTGTGCTGGTTTTGTTTGAGTGTTTAAAGAAGCATTATATCTAACAACCAGAGGCAAAAACAAATTCATGAGGGCCACCAGAACAAACAGTATTTCAATCAGCATGAATAAATCCACACGATCACCCATGGTCCTTTGCACTTTCATAAAATCCCAGACCTTATGTCTACACCAATGATTCTCAAAAAAATTCTATTATTTCTTAATGGGCAGTACCTAGGGCACAGGCGCTTTGAAAAAGCCTAATCCCCAACTCAATGATTCTGAATTTAAGAGGCACATTCATTTTTAAAGATACAATGTTTTCTCGATTTCAAATAAAGGGAGAACAGTGACAGGGGCAATGATTGGCATTGATAGCAATAATGGCCCAAAAGGACAATACCCTACAGGAGACCACCGGCCTTTGCACTAGAATGGGACAGTGAATTCAAATAATCAGACTAGGGGCACCCCTTATCCAAACAGTCTCACTTGAGGGTCCAGTATTTCCCACACTGGTCAGTTACCCAGATGACCACAGGCCAGCTTCTCCCACAGCTATGAGCATGATATTGATTTGAAACACTGGCATGGTTATGTAACCCCTTGTCTTACTTTGATGATTAACAGTAGCCTGCATCAGCATCTTATTATTCTTAAGCATCTTCCCTGAAGCTGTGGACTGGACTGACTGCTGGAGGGCCAGGCAGTCCAGGGCTATATACCAGATAGGTGTAGCAGTGTTTTGACAGAGAGGATTAATGAATCATCAAAGGGGCTGCTGGCATAGATGATGTGTTCTTTACAATGATTGGTCGGAAAACAATACAAAAAGTAATGCTCTCACTTGTCCATTGTGACACAGGAGCATTCATTGTCTCAGGGAATCCCCAAATTAGCTGAAACCTTACTGGATCTTGAGTATTGTGACTCCTTTGGGGTTGACCAAAGAGATAGGGATTAGATAGGGATTAGACAAAATAAACATTTCTTATGGGTTGCACATTTCAATATGAATCATGGGACATCAAAGATAGGACTTTTTCATATCTATTCTCAAGGTAATCAATTTCATGAAAGCATTCAAAACAGACAAACACCAAAACAATGAAACAAAATGATTATCCAAAGCATATTTGGCTATATTTAGTGAATGGAAATCAAGCAGATATAACATTACATAACTTGGCCCAAGTCACATGTCTTTGAAAGAATAAGGGAAAAAAACAAAAAAGACCATGAACAATAGTTGCATGATACAGGAATATCAGCACATGGGGGCATTATAAGGAAGAATTTGAAATTACACATTTTATTCACGCTTAGAGGAATTCACATGTATTAATACTTTCTTATTTAAAGCTTGTAATTTATCTGACATCAAATTCCATTCTACTAAATCTGGGATGTACTCAAGAGACCAGTTGTATTCCTTAATTGCTGCCAACCTATCTGGCAGCCTGTGCTAACTGTCTGAGTATCGTTCATTCCAAATGTTTTCCTATCATTACACACAATAAGTAAATAAAAACATTCTGAAGTATGAGGCCAAAGAAGCATTTTAATTGTTTATACTGCACTAATTGGGAATATCCCAATTTGCTTAGAATTACAATTAGGTGGTGAATGATAGCAGGGGGACCTATAAACAAACTTGGCTGGACATGTGTGTTGATTTCAGCCACTGACACTTGAATGAGTGAAAGAGCCTTCAGCCCAGGTGAAACTGACAAACTGCAATTGACATCAGACTCATGTGGATGTCTGTCTCTCGCATCCTGTCAATCATGAAACTTGTGAAAAAGACCTTTGTTCTTATTGGGAAAGGATTTTTATTTTTAGTTTAGAAATGGTGTGGATTTATTGATTATATGTAAAATATTATGCTTTCGTAACATCGTGTTACATAAATGCATGAGTTGAATACATAGTTGTTTTATAAGATCAATAATAATTATAAAAATAAATGCAAACACATAGCTCAAGATTGAACACTTTTCAAACTTGCAGAATGCAAACTTTTCTCATTCACAAAACAAAACTGTTTTAAAAAGAAGTTTAAATAACACTTGATACAGTCTTTGTAGAGTTTTCCAAATAACAACCATCCTCTCACAACACAGCAATAAAATACACCACTGGACCCGACTAGGAGGACTTCCCATGGACACTTTGAGTGTCCATCAACCCATCATTTTGCAATCAAAACATCAGTGGAAATCTCATAATCCCAAGGCCAGATCAAGGTTACATGGAATATGCATTAATCCTGAAGATTTGCAACCAATACCCCGAATTTACAGCCAGCAAGGTTCAAAGATGCCAGGACCCAGTAATAAACTGGGGTTACTGACCAGATGTAATAGGGGCTCACTGAGAGACAGTGAGAAATCTTTATTACCGATGATGCAGGGAACTGTGGATCCATGTCAGAAAGGGTGGGAGGGTGAGGGAGGGCAGAGCAAGGATGAAAAGGGCAGAGGCCATGTTTGGTATTCAGAAGTCTGACCATAAAGAGGGAGTTGGGAGGAAATGCTCTGCAGGCAGAGCTGAATGAATGCATTGTAAGAGGATATAGTGGAGATCAAAGTTTTGTAAAAATCTTAACCACCATGAACAATAAAAGTGGGTCTTTAAGTACTAAGCTTGCACTGGGTATGGGGACCATCACGGAACATATGCAATTTGGTTGGTCAAATCTGACTTTTATTACCTTGATGGATGAATGGTTTGTATTTTATAACTAGGAAATACAGACATTTACTTATTCAATTACAACAGAAATGTATGCATGACTACACCTATAGAGGCTGGTCACCAAACGTTTCAACATAGAAACCATGTTCAAAATAGCCATGTTGAAAGTGTTACATTTTTTCTACAAAATCATAAGATTGTAGTAAATGTAAGAATCCCATTAGTGTATCAAACAGAAAAATACAATTGTGTTCACAACCTCCATGTAACCAGTTAAGCAGCTTGATTTCCTTGAGTAATTGCAGATGTGGTCCAGCAGCCTCTGGCTACACATCTGACCAGCTCACTGGCCAAGACTGTTAGATAAGAGACCTACACAGAATAGCAGGGAGCCAATTAGGCTCCAGTCAGCCCTGACACCCGGATAACAGTTATAAAATTTATGTCCATCATTTACAGACCAAGAAAATTGGGACCACAAGGATTAAATCAAAATCATCTGTTACAGCACTTAATACATATTATAGAGGATGTGGGAGAATGGTATGGTCATTGATGCTGAAATGAAACGAAAAACACCAAACATCTACACGCTTAATGCTTTCATGAATGACATATTAAAAAATTACTGGCAGTAAATATTTAAATGCAAATACTATTGATATTTGGTCATGACGGTTTTCATCATATCATATAGCTAGATCTAAAGATCATTTGTAGGCCTTTAAATAATTAAAAGTAATAAATTCTCTTTTGACATAGCATGATAGGTGTAGCTGTTGTCAGCTATGACAAATCACACCATGATAATGAAATATAAAGAAAATGGAAATGATCTTACAACAAAAATGAAATTCCATTTGTCAATGTTTGAATCTATTGGGCCTATATATTCATAAACGACATTTTCTAGTTTAACAGAACATGTTGAAAGAGGACCTATAATGGAAACTAAAGGGCCTAATCAAATTAACATTAAATGTACATATTTTCTTCAAATTATAGGAATAGAGTTTGTTTGGGGTTCTAAAACATATTTCTTTGTCAAAATGTCAGGAACCTGAAATGCTGGATCAACCGATTTACCGTGACAAAAGATAGAATCCAATAAATACAGCAGGCTCAAGCAGTATTTCTGTAAATAGTCTACAGGATGCTTCTATATGCTGTACGCCCAAGTGTGGGATTATGAACACAGATGCTGAAGATCGGAAGGAACATGGTATATCCAATAATCTGTAGGTTGAAGATCTCCCTCTCCGCATAAGCTCTGTATCGTGATATCCGTATAATTGTGAACGGGACAAATACGCTTCACGCCAATGAGCTGTCACTCAGGAATCGGATCTCCACATTAAAATATGGCAGTATGGGTCTGTCACTCACCTAATGTTGTTTCGTATATATCCTGATCTAAAGTATGTATCTCGTCAGATTGGTAGTCCACAGATAGTGGAGATACATGTGTTGCGATTGAGTTCAGTTGTGATGTCTGATGCGAGTCAGGACGGGAGAATTTTATGTTCTCTCTCCTTCTCAAGTCAAAACAGCCGCCGCAGTCCTCCATCTATTGTTCAATTGCAAACAAGCTCGCTGATTGGGCCATCCCTTTGAAAGACGCAATTCAATTGGTTGGTCAAAAACACCACACTGCTCATGCGCTACCGGATGTTGCTTCCATGTGGGAAAGTCTTGATGTTTTGAATGGTGATCGATTGCGATAATAGAGTGAGACTTAGAATTGTTTAGGTACATATGCAAACAATAGCTGAACACGTTTTCTGTACTGCCTAATTAGGTCAGACAGTGGAGTCAGACCACCGTGTTTCCCTTTCATTCAGTCGCAACTCATACAACGATGTAAATGTTAGACAGTAGTGAGCACTGTCAACTGACATTATGTTGACACTGACAGTGCTGAACTTTATTTATGTTAATACATATACTTTTCAGTTATGTCTGAATCTGGATTGACATGTGTGTGATGACATTTCACCTGGTCTCATGACAAACTACAATTGAGAAGATGTCAGTTCTGTATTGGTTACATTTGTCATAGACTTTTAGGGATAAAATGCGATATTATGAGTAAATTGTATTTGCAAAAGAATATATCCTGTTCCTTAGATTGGAGAAATATAAGGACATGTATTCTAAAATGCCTTTTAATTCAGATATTATTACATACATCCTACCCTGATGAAGTGAGGGAATCGATAATTGACTCCAAATGTTTTCTAGCTATATATATATATTGACCAAATGATAAATCTTGCACCATTTATGTTCCACAGGAACAAAAAGAGCTGTTCAAGTGATAAATACTGATCTTATTAAATTCTTTGATTCTGTTGGTAAAGAATTTTTTAAAAATGTGATATCCATTATAGTTAACACTAATATAACACTTACCAGGGACCTACAGATTTTGGCATGGTAATTGCATGTTTGGTTCAAATTACTTTCATAGTAATGTTGACAACCTTTTTGAGGATTTGTTTTGATCTGCCATGTGTGGACATGACTCAACCCACATCTGTAGCATGTAATTAATTTTCAACGCAGGACATAAGAGGCATTCTTAGATGCCAAACAAATTTTAAATTTGCTACACATTGCAATATGGTGAGTGTAAGTGATAAGGTTTTCACACATCGTCATTAGACTTTGATGGTTGATTCATCAATAGCTATTGCCTGTAAATGTTTAATATCGCATGGCAATGAAATACCAGGATGTACCTGTGATGAGCCATATCACACCCGGCAATTGCATGCAGATTCATTTAGAAGTTTATCTGGAGCTTTGAGCATCAAATATGAAAGAAGCATCAAACAGTTTTCAAACATAAATGCTAAAAGTCCAAAGTTTCTCAAATAGATCCAGTAGGACTTATTAATCTTAGTGCTGCAGGAATGCAACTATATCACTGGCGTCAGTCAGTTTGCCAAATGTTTATAGATAACCTTAGGGCGAGTAGAATTTCAGGCTTTTAGGGGTGTTGTTATATGTCAGGCTCGCAGACTTGGATGATGCATGTCATCGATCCCAATTGCGTAGATCGATGCTCATGATATTAATCACTGGATTGTCTGGCCCAGACTTGATTATTTACAGACCGCCATCATATAGCTGGAATACTGCTGAGTGCGGCGCTAAACAACAAACCAACCTGGTGCTGTCCATGCTCCCCAGGATGCTAAGAACCATTGGTGGGGTGGGGTCCCATACATGCAATGACTGTTCTGATAGTCCCTTGCTATGTGACATGCAAATATATGTCACCATGTCTACCTAAAAAAACTATAATTCCCAAAGGAGAATGAAAAAATCCCAATTTAAATTGCTCTGATGTTATAGTTGACTTGTATTGTATTGTGTGCTTATAACAGGACTGATAAGGAAGGTAAAGCTGAAATAGATTATCACCATTGCAGTATATCTGAATTGAATAAATTAAGAAATTAATAAATTCCCAAATATCAACAAAAAAGTTACTTGCCTGTCACAGGAATATGTTTGTAAGTGCTACAAAAGTAACTGATGTCTTCACTGAGTGTTCTTTTAAAAACAGACGGTTAATGTATTTTCATTGTTTATATTGCTGAGACTGTACAAAATTTCAAAGGTGCTCTACTGTGTTAAATGCCACACAGAAAACAACATTATTGAAACCCTGTCTTGAGAAACATAATAATTAAAATGATACTATTTAGCATGTTGTTTTTCTAGTATGTCGGTTGTGAAATGTGATAATTTGAAGGTGGTTTTTCACAACTTTGGACTGTGAGTCGTAACTCGTACCAACAGCAAAGCGTGTGTTTATGTTTATTTACCATTGCCATCATATCATGTTGTTTTATTTTGTCTAATTGAGGATTTGTGTTCACTCTTGTTTAATGTTTACAGATTAAGAATTTTTTTATTGTTGCCAGACATTCACAGTACCAACATAAATTGAACATGACAATTGCCATAAAGATTGCTTGGCAGGCCATGGGTCATAAAAGTGTAATTTCAACATGTCTAGCAGTGCATGGCTTGTTCAGTCTGAATGTAGCCAAATTTGATGACCTCTCTATAGTCAGATTGTATCCCAAAGACACTAACCAGCTTGCATACATAAACCAAGGTATTGAAATTAAGGGTTGAACCTTGACTTAGGCTACCAGACACAACTGTTGGCAGCCAGATAGGAACACTCCAGCCTTAATTATAGTTTTATCCCTTTGTTTTCTTTGCTGATTAACCTGGTCAAATTACCAGAGCTGATCCAAGCTGGTTAAGACCAAGTTGATGGAATTAGCTGTGCATGTGTAGGATTAGGAGCATTTTGCATTGAGATTCTTTATAGAAATCATGTACTTACTTGACAAGGTTAATGATGTTTGTAGAATTGGGGACAGTGAGGAAAGTTATGTGTGTGGACGCTATGTGAAGAGTGCTGTGTATATCTACTGATTGGCAGGCCACCGACACCAGCTAGTTAAAGACTGACGAGTGATTAGACTCTTAGACATGTCACGGTCAGTCTGAACTAATAAAATACTTATATTTTACCTTACATGACGCTACAAAGTGCCTGTAGGTGTAGAGTCAGGTAAGTATAAAACATTGCATTTAATCAGAAATGCTCATTTTCAAATAAAATTAAAATTTGAAATAGTTGTAGGGAAAATATTTTTAGGCAAAATTATATTTTTCAGTGATCCTACCAAAATTTCAACACACTGAACTTGAGAAGTTTGTTTGAAAAATTCATAGTCATACCAAGATTTGAAAATATGAAATATTGCCTTTTCATTAAATCTTCGAATTTTAAATTTGTTTATTAGACGAACTATAAAATCTTTTCGGGTAACTATTATTGTCTCTGTCTAGACCTGATAGTGAAGAATGGAGAGTTTCAAAGAATGAGAAAAATTTATGTTGATAAACCGATGCATCGATGCATCATAACATTTACGATAGACATTATGTGCTATAATTTGACCATTCATAATTACTTTTTATGGAAGTTGATGGAATTAATCCTGACCTAGGGGAATGCCTGGCTGCTCTGCACAAGTGCCATAGTGTTAGTGACAGATAAAGATAGTAGGTCTAGCTGAATGTCCCATAAAGCACTGCCCCCCAGGGCAAGACCTGTCACACCCAGGGGAGGGGTAGGTGGGACTGATATTAATGTCCAATTTCCTTGTGTCATAGACATGCATATTTAAGAATATTGAAAAGTGCCGAAAATAAGTTTTTCTTCAAATCATGTATTTTAGGAAAATGGTTTGAGTATGTGTTCAGAGTTCGACATGGCCACTTGTCCGTAAGTCAGAAACTAGTAAGGGTGTAATGATACATCGGTGCATCGTCAGTTTTCATGTGGTGATACGATACATGATACGTTTTTTACTGTATCGATACAAGATGATACACTTGCTAAAATAAATGACTTACTACTCATTTAATGACCATCAGCATGTTTGTCAGTCAAATATCTCAAAATGTGTTGTAATTAGCGTTTCAAGTTCATTACTAAAAATAGCCGCTATGAACATGTGTCTCAAACTAGCAGTTCATTTTGAATCTGCGCTGAAATATTTATAGTCAAGAATTTTCCTCACGATTTGACGTAAGTACATATCTATCGTGACCTTTGTATTGTATGGTGACCTTGAAACTAGTTAAAACCCAGAGGGTCAAGATGTTTTCTTCCACAAATCTAGATATTCTGCATAAGCCACTTGTCTGAAATTACCTTCGGACTAGTTGCATATGACCAGTGGTGTCTACCCCATGTTTATCACCCCATTAGAGGTGATGTTCCCCACCTGTAACCAATGAAGGACCAAGTCCATGTGTTTACTGACCCACTAGAGGTGATGTCCCCCACCTGTAACCAATGAAGGACCAAGTCCATGTGTTTACTGACCCACTAGAGGTGATGTCCCCCACCTGTAACCAATGAAGGACCAAGTCCACGTGTTTACTGACCCACTAGAGGTGATGTTCCCCACCTGTAACCAATGAAGGACCAAGTCCATGTGTTTACTGACCCACTAGAGGTGATGTCCCCCACCTGTAACCAATGAAGGACCAAGTCCATGTGTTTACTGACCCACTAGAGGTGATGTTCCTTGCCTGTAACCAATGAAGGACCAAGTCCATGTGTTTACTGACCCACTAGAGGTGATGTTCCTCGCCTGTAACCAATGAAGGACCAAGTCCATGTGTTTACTGACCTGCTAGAGGTGATGTTCCCCACCTGTAACCAATGAAGGACCAAGTCCATGTGTTTACTGACCCACTAGAGGTGATGTTTCCCTCCTGTAACCAATGAGGGACCAAGTCCATGTGTTTACTGACCTGCTAGAGGTGATGTTCCCCACCTGTAACCAATGAAGGACCAAGTCCATGTGTTTACTGACCCACTAGAGGTGATGTTCCCCCTCCTACCTGTAACCAATGAGGGACCAATTCCATGTGTTTACTGACCCACTAGAGGTGATGTTCCCCACCTGTAACCAATGAGGGACCAAGTCCATGTGTTTACTGACCCACTAGAGGTGATGTTCCCCCTCCTACCTGTAACCAATGAGGGACCAATTCCATGTGTTTACTGACCCACTAGAGGTGATGTTTCCCTCGTGTAACCTATGAGGGACCAAGTCCATGTGTTTACTGACCCACTAGAGGTGATGTTCCCCACCTGTTACCACTGAGGGACCAAGTCC